GCCAGTGGCATTTCCTACTCTCGTAAGCATTTAAAATGTCTACAACCAGCCAATTTGAAAGTTTCCACTAAACTTGAGCGAAAGCAAACTGCTGGGTGGCAACGTATCCCAGTACCTCGGACATATTTCCGTGAGATTTTTAGCACAAACTACCACTGCCTGAGAAATAAAACTACCTGCAGTCTTCAATTGCTATTATTATTATTATCCCCTTAGGTTCCAAGTGCATCGGTAGCACAGCGGTAGAATGCTCGCCAACCATACCTCATGTGGTTCGGAGTTCGATCCCCGGCCACAGACACACTCCTTCTCCCGCTAATCCAGTAATAAGACTGGTAAAGAGGGAAGGCTGGACATGAGGCTAGCAACCGCATCTTGCAAAAATAAACACCACTGCTACTGAAACTTTAAAGATCTAGCCTGGAACCCTATGTTTTTAAAAAACGGTTCCAAGTGGAACACAGGGCTTAAACAACACATCTCCACCTTTTTCTATTCTCTGCTGACTTCTTCAGCTGACCGGGCCCACGATCGCCTACAATTTATAATCTACTCCCACTTTCAAAATGATCTACAACATGTCACCCTCGCACTGACGACCAACTTGTCGTTTCCCACTGGGATTCCACTTGAGCGATGGCCTGCACTGAGCGCGATGTCATTCAACAGTCTCCTAAACGTATACTCGATCCATCCATCACCATTTTCTCCTACGTATTTGTTAATCAATTGGCTCTTGGCTAGTTTGTTCCCGACCAGACAGTTCCTACTGAACTTGATAAAAAGCCTAATCATCATGGGTGGTAACGTTCTCCAATATATGAGATATGTCTTTGGGTCTGAAAATGTAATCCTGAAAGTTATTTAATCGGCTTTCAACCATTAAATGTTGTGCATTTCTCCAAGGGGACAAAGAATAGATATCGTGATGGATTGGTCTGCACTTCAGGTCAGACAGAGCTGCGAGACATGGTCTACTGTCAATTTATAATCTTATTTCAATATCCTGGACAAAGAGGAAACTGAAGCAGTAAACTCCACTGAAAATGCTGTACATTATATAAATACTGTCCAAAACAAAGCTATTATTATCAATAACGATTTACTTGTGAATTAATCCCCCTCTCCCCCTATTCCTTTCCTTTCTTTGTCTTCTCAGGGTCCAGATGCTGAATACTTTGAACTAGTAAATCATACTGTCGAGTCATCACGAACAGCTCACAGTTCACTACTACATTCAACACCAAGAAATATCAAATCACTACATTTAATAAGTCGTTTCCCCCTAGATCGTGAACACAAGTCAGAATATCGATTAATTCTGCTAGCCTACGATCAATCAGAACAATTTCAAAATCGTCATACATCCCAGCTGCCTATAAGTATTCAGATAAAAGAAGTGAATGAATATCCACCAATATTTAATCTGGGTATAAATATAACAACACCACAATATGGTTTCAATAATCAATTCTCATTGAACAGTGATTCAAAATATATTGGACATTCAAATCGATTTCATCCACAAGTTCAAATTAAATCGTTTTCAAATCATTATTTTTCAGAAGCTGAGAATAGCAGGCAAGGAGGAGCAGGAGGAGGAGGAGAAGTGGCAAGTGGTGTTCAGTTATCTGATATAAATTATTTAATCCTTGGAATACCAGAAGATATTAATGTTGGCAGTCGAATATACTGTGTACAAGCGATAGATATTGATTCAATTGATTTTTCATCTTTTACTAGCAAAAATACTAATCAATATCCTTATCAATATCAGCAGCAGCAGTACCAATCAATAAAACATTATCCACACAATACTGTACATTATTTTATAGCTCAAGAAACTGATCTTGTTGTAAAGCATTATTTTCGTCTTGGTAAAGAAGACGGTTGGATAACGCTGATTCACCAGTTGGATTATGAAACTAGCCGGCATAATTATATTCTGCCTATAGTGGCTGTCGATTTTGGTCGTCCACAGTTGAGTAGCACGCTGACACTGACAATACAAGTTATCGATGTGAATGATGAAGCGCCGAGTATAAGTATCCGTGGAATTGAACCGACTAATATTGCCAGTCGATATTATCATCACCATCAGCAGAACCAGCAACAACAAAGTACAATGTTAGATAATTTTAGTCCTGGACGATTTCAGATATTGAATGTTAGAGAGAATTCACCAGCGGGGACTTTCATTGCAAAGGTAAGACACCTGTCTACAGTTTGAATCTATATTCCATGTTTTGATATGCTTGTATTCTCTGAGCTGGATAGTCAATTGGCGAAGCTTTCATCGCCCTACTTACTAGGCGACATCTTCAGCGCATACTTCAGTTTGAAGTGAGCTTTCAGATTTCTCCACGAGTTTATTAATCATCTTTCCTGACGGGTGACCTTGGACGTGATTGGTTGTTTTTGTGTGTTTTCAAGCATTCTAGGTTATTTGTATTGTAATTCATTGTTTCTATGACTTGAACTTTGACCCTTTGTGTGTGTGTGAGGTTTCTTTCTTATCGGTTGATATATTCTATCTATCTCGATGTGTCTATTGATTGATGATTCACTGGAATACCAGACAGGCTTCTAAAAATTCTCTAGCATTCTTGTTGTTTCCTCTGTCTACTATTTGAACGTTGTCCCAGTCGAATTGATTTCCGTGGTTGTCTGTATGTAGTGACATGAGGGAGTGGAGAAGTCTGAAAGCTCACTTCAAATTGAAGTATGCGCTGAAGATGTTGCCTAGTAAGTAGGGCGATGAAAGCTTCGCAAATTAACTATCCAGCTCAGAGAACACAACCATATCAAAATCATTCACCTGAGCTACAAATCTTCTCTATCATATCTATATGCTATGTTTACTTAGTAGGAAGTAATTTGCTGTAAAGGTACCACACTTGACAATCTATTATTACTCTCCCCTCGGAATCCTAGTAGACAGAACATAGGGTTTCAGCAGGACGTCTCCACTTCACCCTGCTCTCTCCTCCAAGTCACCTTTGGCCGAACGACCAACTCGTTATTTTCCATTTGGGTCCCAGTCGATAGATGGTCTGCACATGATAACATGCAGCGATCTCCTTAGTGTGTGACTAGTCGGAATATTTGTCGAGCGACAGGCTGTAGATTAGTTCTTCCCCATAGTTTCTTGTTACTGACTCTTAATGGTCAACTACATGATTTTCAGCACGCAGCTGCAGAAGGCAGCAGTTAATAAGAATCCGCAGTAGCCTATTAGAAAGGTTTCTGATGACGTGTGAGTCAAGAGGAACTGACTGACTGACTTAACATTGGTGTTGAAAATTTGAATCTAGTTCTTTGTGTGGAATGCTGTTGATTTCCAAGCGGGTTCCACATTGATATAAGTCTGTCTTGCCTTGCCAGTTATAGATATTCTAAAATTATGTAGGTCCTAGGCGCGTCAGTTCTCTCAACATTAGGTAGTTGCCCTAGCAGCCTACTGGTACGACTGAATTCGGGATTCGCAAATCATACTGCTCCGTATGAAGATATACCGCAGTTCCCTCTTGGAAACTTGAAATATTCAGATCATAATATATATGATCTACTTGGTACTACAGTTGGCAAACAAGAAACCAGATGGTGTAGCATGATGGCATATACATACTGCTCCCTGAAATCAGTCGGGACGAGTACACCGGAGATGAGCTGCATAGCAAACCAGCGGAACGGCAGTCCGGTGTTTTATATCAGTTCGATTTGACCGAGAAAAAAACACTACTCGTCAATGAGGGTAGTAATTTCCAACTTCTCGTATCAAACAATAGTATGCTCCATCAGGCGTAGTTTTACTGTACGGTAATCTACTAGAAAACGTTTCGAAATCAAACTAGGTACACTAATCAGTACAGATACTATATGTGAAAATTTAGTACAGTAATGGTAGCTGGTTAACTATTTTGATGTAATTTTGGTGGATGGTAAATAGCAATGGGATCCTGAATGCGCATTTTGTCCTATCTAGGATTCTTCATCTGTTGGATGTACCAGCATTTCCTAGTGAGTTATGATGTTCCGACTAGGGCTCGAACCCAGTGCCCATCATTTCATATGCCAAAGCAGACTCAGAACGTTTAGGTCCAGTCAATCAGGCGGAAAATAGACATCGAATCAAGGATGCAGATTATCATAAATAATTTTGTGTGCAGCCTGTCAGTGTTACGGTATTCTCTCTCTTTTCCTTCGTTACATCGAAAAATAGGCGAATGCTAACCTGATTTTGATTTTCGAGATTTCTTTCGCCTTGTGTTTCTGTCGACTCTTCTTACACCTTTTAGGATCAACGTTTTCAAGAGTAATTTAATAGGAATTTGATTTGTCTCAGCTTTGACCATGGAGTACTGGATGACTGTTTCATCCACACTCGACACTCTTCAGCAGTACTCACCCCACACCTCCAGGAATCGAAGCCGGGACCTTCAGGTTACGAGGCCAGTCAAACTGACCGTTTACCCCCTTGGACCGGAATTCTGTGAACCGCGAATTCTCATTTCTATCAATTCACGATACATGTAGTGCAACTGCCAGTCAATGTCTCCACACCAGACTTCGTGGAACCCAGTCGGTCACGCCTTCTCACTAGAGCTTTAAGCATCTTCATCTTGTAACTAGTCAGTAAAGAGCATCAGAAGTTGGAATTCATGGGCCATTGCACCACATCTCAGTGGCCGAATGCTAAACGAGCTCGCCTTGTAACATGAAGGTCGTGGATTCGATTCTTTACGCTGGGGTCATGGGTGCGTATGGCTGAAGAGTCCCAAATGGCGGCGAAACAGTACTTTTATGTGATTATTCAACTGGTATACTGTCTTGATCAATGCTTCCTGTAAGTCCAGTTGAAACAGCACTGTAAATGAGTAAGATTCTTGTCTGGGTTGATGATCCACACCGATGCCTTTGTAACTCACAGCTAATCTACTCACCACTATTTCAGTAGTATAATATTCTATGCTTAATTTCCTCTCTATATTGTTCTACAGGTATCCGCCAGAGATCGTGATACTGGGGCTGCAGGAGAAGTTGAATGTTATTTAAGTGAAGCAGAAAATTTCAACAGGAATCCTTCAAACATCGATCTGGCATTCATCTTAGAAAAGTCTAATGGCCTACACAGCGTAGGCTTACATTCAACTGAAGAGAAGACCATCCCTACAACAGCCACCATCGTATCAAATAACAATAATGAACAAACTGTCCCGTCGGCATACACCTCACACTCATCATCACCATCGTCAGCAGCAGCAGCATTAAATGTACTCGGACGTCATGACACTGAATACATATTAATGACACGAGAAAGTTTAGATCGTGAACTGAAAAGCGCCTATTTTATTTATCTAACTTGTCATGATCAGGTGGTAGATAAGTTCGACAGCTCATCAATATTCATAAACAGTCAGTCCGCAGCAACACCAACTGCCTTAAAACGTCTTTCATCAACAAAACTGTTAAAAATCAATATTTTAGATGAAAATGATAATGGCCCAGAATTTGACAGATTACGATATGAAGTGAAAATTCTTGAAAATTCCATTGAGAATACAGAATTAATTAAATTGAATGCTATCGATAAAGATGCAGAGAATCATATAGCTTATCGATTTGCTCAATCAACCGATCAATTTATACAAAATTATACTGATTTAGCCTTGAATTTAATTGAAAAATATTTTAAATTAGAAAATAAATCTGGATCAATTAAAACAACTGGTACACCATTGGATAGAGAGAGTAGAGATACGCTTTTAATTCCTGTTATAGCCTATGATGAAGAATATCCGAGTAGGACATCTCATGCATGGATCAGCGTTCAGGTAGGCGATGTCAATGACAATACACCGATATTGACAGGAAATACAACATTTTGGATTGATGAAGAAGGAGCAACTACAGACCATCTGACCACTAGCGGCAGTAGCAGTGGTAGTTCTATAATCACCTCCAAACAATATCAGGGTAGTTATCAAATATTTGTGGGACGTTTAACCGGTGAAGATCAGGATATTGGTGAAAATGGTCAAATTAATTTTAAACTAGGGATAAACAACTCGAATAGTCCTCACAGTCGACCGAAATGGATCCTGCGTTCTGATGGTATGCTTTTCGTCCAATCGACAAGGCTGCATAACACTGCTGGTACCGTTGGTAATAGGGGTGATGATATTCCTAGTTATTTTTTAGATCGTGAAACAACACCGGTCCATGAAATTCCAATAATCATTAGTGATTTAGGCAAAAATCCTACACTATCGTCTACAGCTACAGTCACTGTCAGTTTAAGAGATATTAATGACAATTCCCCTCGATTTGTAAAACCTCCACATCATAATTTAAATATGAATTCAAATTCAAATTTTATGGATAAAGACACCAGTCATTCATTGTTAAATATTCCTAAAAGTTTAATATCAAATATACCAAGTGAACGAATCAATATTCTTCGCATGGATAATTCAAATCCTGGTGCATTGATTTATACTGTACAGGCTATTGATCCAGATGAAGGGGATAATGGTAAAGTTGTTTATAAACTTGATGTATATAAAGGTTATTGGCAGTTAACGCACAATGCAAATCAATTAATCAATAAACCTGGTGGTGGAATAAATCAATCTTCAAGTGATTATTATTTTATTATTGATCAAAATTCTGGTGAAATACGTCTCAATAAGGCAATCAATGTGGATAATTTACAAAAATTACCAAAATGTCTCATTATATTTGCTGAAGACTGTGGAATTCCACCGAGAAGAAATTATGCCTTGTTGTATATTGATATTACTACTGATGAAGAAGGTGAAGAAGCACGGGGAGGAGGGGGAGGAGGCGAAGGGATAAAACAGACAAAACTAAACGGTCAATCAATAAATAATAATAATACAGGGGACAATTTAAACTCTCTTGATCGATTCATCAATATCAGTAATTCTAATAATAAAGAGTATAAAGATAAGCTAGACAGGGTCCATTTTAACAATAACTTACAGTCAAAACTATCGACAGTTGACGGTATCCACATGTATCCCCATTCAAATTCACTGTCTACCTCTAAGAAGATGAAATATACTCAATCAGCCAATACAAGACTGTCATCCTCCTCCTCCTCCCTATTTTCTCCGTCAAATGATCTCAGTGTTAACACTGATGATAATGTCGACGGAGTAATATCAAATTTTCAAATTTTAATGAATAATGGTGAATCAGAACCAGTGAGTACATATCATACAAGTGCTGAAATGATTACAGGTTTAGGCATTGGATTGGTGATTATCATTCTAGTTTGTCTGCTACTACTAGTAACCTATGCTATCCATGGAACACAGAATATTCGGCTGACAAGGGGCGGTACTACACATTCAACGCGTACAAAAGTTAACAGTACTACTCTAGGGAAACAGTATAGAAATGTTCAGATGAAAGGTGGAACAAGTAAGTAACGGATTTTTAAGGTCAGATTGTGTACAAAAAACTTCTGTTATTTATTATTCTAAGATAATCTTTCCTGCACAGTTCCATACTGTATTATTACTTACAAATTGTAAGACATTTGTGTGAGGTTTTCAAGACATCGTCACAAAAATCAAGTTAGTTGGAAAAGGAAAAAATGCCAGGCAGTGGGGTTATGTCATTAATTAGAAATCATTCCAACCCAATGGTGATGGCGAGCCACCTAGTGGCACGGTGGCCATGTTGCAAACTTGACTGAGAGAATTCCGTCTGCAGTAAACAAAGGACTAGACATATGACAATCGTTAGTATCCAATCAAAAGTGGTAGTTTGTACTAAAATTCTCATGGAATTTTATCCCATGTATTGAAATACCTTGTCACTCAGGATTTCGCCTTTTCTCAAGTTTAATAGATACTCGTGAATAAAAAGACAGTTGCAGCGAAGAAAATTTTCTTTTCGACGAAGTCATCAACTAGGCAGCTGTACATTCGTGTATTTATATCAAATGGATGGGAAAGTTCCAGAATAATTTCCGGTTAAAGGTCAAATTAATAGAAATTACAATTAGGAATTAGAATGCCATAATAAATAGGGGGATGGGTAAAACTCAAACAAAGTAGCATAATAACTAAGAAGATTGACATTGTGCAATTGGGGGTCAGAAATGTAAAAATAACAAAATATACAGGATGTTTGGATAAAAAACTAGTGTGATGAATAATTGTTTATGCAATCAGGGATTAAATATATAGAAATAGTAAAATGACAAAATAAACAGGAAGTGCGGATATGAAAATATGGTAGTGTAGACAGGGATTAAGAAAACTTAAAATAACATGAATAAACAGGAAGTTTAGATAAGAAAGGCGATGGGATGGTCATTATTAAAAAATTTTTACCTGTTTACGATGGCCATGGCAGGGACAGGGGTTGGACGTATTTCTTTTGGATACAAAGGGTGGGTTTGAGTTTTTGGATAGCTAACGCCTCAGCTATGCCCAAATGTCTTGATTTCACTCCCTTTGATAGGTTTGATTGAACCTTGTATATTACTTTGAAGGAATTTTCGAAAGGCGCTGAATGTCCTGAGTTGACCAGATGTTCTGTCACTGAACTGTATACACGTTTTTGCTCTCCTTTTACTAGCCAGGCTGGGTAGTGTTCATGAGCGCGTTTTTCAAGTTGCGCATGGCACGGCCGATGTACTCAGCTCCACAAGAGCAAGTAAACTGGTATATGCACGTTGAGTTGGCCCAATGCGACAGCTTGTCTTTCGCATTCTGACTGAACAGTTTTTTGCAGGAAAACGTCAGTCGTAGGCTTGCACTAGAGGTGATATTTCAATAGATTTTTAGAGGCTGACGGTACTGACGTTCACAGATAGTACGAAGTATACTAAGGCAAGATCTAATACTCACAATTTCTATAGTATTCGTTCCGCGTAGACCAAAGGCGAAGCAAAACACGAGATATATTTCGGGAGCAAATCGGAGTGCGAGATGATTGCTTAGCTGGCTAGTGATCGTGCACGAACGTGACACGATGGAGTACGAAATGGCGTGGATGCTTGACCGGAAGCCTTCAGCTGAACAAGTCGACTTAAACAGTGAGGGTCAGCATCCAATGCTCAGTGATGAGTGCTGTGGTCATTAATTCCGGGGAATTATTTACCGCTACAGATTAAAACGAAGTGAAGAGGAGAAATTTTGCATGCAATATATAATGATGGAATATTTTTGTAGCTCAGGTTTCAAATAGCCCGCCTCTGATGCAGAATGATTTTTATGTTATTTACGATTCAATTTATAGTCTGTTTACTTTGAAAAAAACTTTTTATTTTAGGCACAGATGCTACTGACAAGAAAAAGTGCTTTGATCAAGGAAAGAAATGGAAACAGCTCTGTAATGCTATGCGTTTCTCAATCAATTCTAACACTTCAATGGTAGGTTACTTTAAGTATATGTTTGTGTGTGTTTATTGGTGAATATGTCTCAGTGACTCAGTGGTTGAATACTGTTCAACCACACTACATATGGTCTGGGTTTCGTTTCCCTCCCACTGAATGCACTCCTTAAACTCTCCTAGCCAGAATTAAGTACGGTAAAAAGGGGAGGTTGAGCGTGGTGATGATAGCAACCTTTGATTGCAAAGAAGTGCATCAGTTCGACTTGCCACAATCCCTGTACCACACAAAGGAAGACAAAGCGAGGCAGAGGAAGAGAGATTCAGAATAACTATGATAAGCAGAAATGTGAGGGAGAGAGAAATAGTCGTCACTTGGACAAACAAAGAGTGAGTTCATCTCTGCCACTGAGAACAATATCACCAATTGTCTCGAGCCATTGGTTCTTAGAATCCAGAGGACCTCAAACAGACAGTGTACACCACCTATATGGCTCAAGTTATCTGTTAGGGACTTCAGGAACCGATTCCAAATTTTCATCTGACCATCACCACCAGCTCTTTTCCAACCTGATCCATCCTATGTCAGCTAATATTGGCTGTCGAGGAAGACGATGGCTAGGTAAGCATAACACTTCGTAGCAATCTAAATCGATATGGTTTCGCAGCCTCATCGACTTACTTTCCCTCCTTACTTAGCTCTTGATGCCCAACGTGTATATTACTCATCCTGTTATACAACCTAGCATGGGAGATAGAATACAGACACCTTTTCATGTCTTCTACTTTCAATAACTATGTCTGAAAGCCATGAAGGAGGAATGAGAGAACTTGTGATTGGTACGCACGCCCTTTGACTTACAGCCGGATATCACGTCTACGTTAGCAACGTCTATGCTAGTAAACCCACCACCTAAGAAGGTAAACACTGCCACCACCCGATTGCTGAAACTTCAAGGCTTGAAGTTTGAATTCTTTTGCTGCACACGGAAATCAAAGTAAATGAAGGCAGTGACTTTTGCAACATCGTCAGCTGTCTTTTTCATTTTGCTTAATGCGTCGCTTCAGGTGTACTTGAATGCAACTTCTTTAGCGGAATTTACTGAGTGAGGGATGGACTTCAGGATTCAAAACATAAATGCATCCTCCTAATGAATAAAGTCCTTCTTGAACAGCGTCTTTTATTACCTCAAGAGTTACTGTTGAAATTATTATTATGATAAAGTTTTTATTTCAATCCACTGCGTTCCCAGTGGGATATACAGTGTAGCGAAAAACCTGAGCTTTGAAGTTTCAGTGGCATTAGTGCTTAATTTTTACAGGGTGGGGTTGCTAAACTCCCATCTGACCTTCCCTCTTTCCTAGGCTTTCTACCAGCTAAGCGAGATTTAGGAGGGCGTCATCCAGGGATCGAAGCCAGATCACACGCGTGGTTGGCGGTATTCCACCACTGAAGGTTAGATACTTCAACTTCATTGACTTTGAGAAGGCCATCGACAGGGTCGACGGCGAAGTAATTTGGGAGCTACTTCAACACTGTGGAGTGGCCCAAGTCTTCATCAACCTCATTCAACAGCTGTATAACAGTGAAATATGTCAGGTGATCCATAGCGGAAAACTCAGTGAAGACAGGAGTAAGAGAAGGCTAGCTATTATCATAGATGATATTCGTTATTTTAGTGAAGTGAAGACAGAAATACATTGGACCTATAGGAAGAATCCAGAAGATATGGGACTTTGTGGAAGATTTATGTCTAATGTCACGCAAATCCCGATTTCTACAGCCAAAAACCAACAAGCTGTCAGAAGAAGCGGCAAAGACAGGACTCCAAGTGACCATAGAGAACACGGAGGTGATGGAGATAACCAGCCCACAACAGCAAATACCAACCACTATCAGTGGAAGAAATTTAAAAGAGGTCATTTCCTTCACCTGCTTTGATAGCATCCTTTCAACTACAGGTAGACGGCACGGATCAGGATATCAAAGGCGGGATCGGAGAAACAAGGATAACCGTCCTTAATCTGAAATCAGTGTGGAAATCTGCTTCGATAGGCATAAAGAACAAGATTCGAATTTTCAACTAAAATGTTAAGTCGGTCAGTTTTTCCATATAGGTAAGAAACTTGACGCGTTATGAAAAGCAATTCGAACAGACCACTGCTGCAGACTATATCAATAGCTGCCTCCTTCTCTAGTTCCGTACTGAAGATCAGATGGCCGATGAGAAATAATTAGCAACAAGAAACTCTGACAAGGGACCGGTCAGGAGTCTATTGTTCAGTCACTGTGTAGAAAAAACAATGGAGGTGGGTCAGAAACATACTGAGGAGACCGTCGAGTGACACCACGCGCCAGGTCAGCCCTCAAGTGGAAGCCGAATGGGAAACGACAAGTAGAGAGTTGGCTAGAGGGTGACATGGAGGAGATCGTGGGAGGAGAAGATGGAAGGTTATGGGAAATAGTGGGGTCAGCTGAAGAAGACTTCAGAGAGCAAGATGAAATGGAGATGCACTGTTGAGATCCTATTCTCCACTTGGAACCCAAGGGAATAATAATATTCTAGGGTTCCGCTAAACGACACTATATTCAAATTGGACTAATGAATATCGTCTAAAAGCACGACTCCCCAACCAATTACAGTTTTATGCACCACTATACATGACCTACTTATATTACTTATTGATTAGTGAAGCGCTGACTAATCTTCAAAGCCTTCATCACTTCGTTATGGATGCAATACATTAAGAATTGATTCTCAATTACTCAAACTCAACTAACAAAACATTCGAACAGATATCCCGTAAAGGCTGCTGGCAGTGGTGTAGAACAGCAACACTTTTTCTTCTGCATGACATTAGTCAGCATTCTACCTAGCTATAACATATTAGAAGACCACTGTGCGGAACTAAATGCCGTCTCTGAACTAAGTTTGTCTCGTAACAAGTAATGGGTATGTATAATAGAGAAGATTTGCAGCTCAGGTGGATGATTTGAAAGTAGTTCTGTTCTCTGATTTGGTTGATGGTTTAATTGCGAAGCTTTCGTCGTCCCACTTCTAGACAACATCTTCAGCGTCGGTTTTAGTATAAAATGAACTCATTTCAGTACTACATGAATGATATAACTGTGTCTCCTAGCAACCATCCTCATGACTGGTAGTTGATTTACATCTCTCTCTACTGATGATCATTTTTATTTACTTGGAATCTGAACTTTCTTGTCGCATGATTTACTTTTTATTAGCTGGTATATTTGGTGTATATTAATATGTTTGTTAAATGCTGAATCCCAGTGGGTGCGTACTGCCGATGATTCCCAAACTAGGATGAAACAGCAGCTGTCCAGTACTCCCTGGTTTTCAATGGTTCTCTAACTGATATCAGTCCGTGATCAACTCGTAAAATGCTGATTCACTTGAGTACCAGGTTTCTAGAACTTCTCTGGTACTTTTGGTGTTTCCTCTGTTTAAAATTTCGACATTATCCCAATCAAATTGGTTTCCATAATTATCTACATGCTAATTTGTGTTCTTGGGTTCGGATTCAAAGGGGACGCCCACCTTGTTGACCGATGTAATGTCTGTTACAGTCCATACAAATTATTTTGTAAATGGTATTAATTTTATCTTCTTTTTCTGTTGGATCTTTTGGTTTGCACAATATCGAATTAAGTGATTGTGCTGGTTGGCCTATGTGCCATATCTCTTTCAAACGGTTTTAATACTCTAGCTGTTATTTGAGAGATATTTTTCTATACATGGTACGATGAATTTCCTTATGGTCTTTAATGATGGTTTCTTGTTGGTGTTATGACTTGAGTTTGAACACTTTTTGATGAATTGTGAGGACATCCATTCTTTTTGAAGACGGTTGATAGGTACTTTCTCTTCATTCTCTTCAACACTGGGGTGCTACGGTGTGTTTGAAATCTTTTAAACAACATCTGCATACAGTTTATTTTATGGGCAACTGGGTTATTACCACTATAGTTGCGTATTCGGTCTATGTGGGTTGATTTTCTGTATACTTGTGTTTCTAAATTTCCTGTGTTAGTTCTCCTGATTAAGACATCTAAAAATGGGATTTTGTTGTCTAATTGTTCTTCACTCGTGAATTTTATATCTTCAGATATTTTTTTTATTCCTTTACCTTCCCAGTAGAACATAGGTCTTCAAGCTATAGACCTGAAATTTCTGTAGCAGTGGTGATTATTTTACAGGAAAGGGTTGTTAGCCTCATGCCCAACCTTCCCTCTTTACCAGTCTTATTACTGGCTTATTGAGGTAAAGGAGTGCATCTGCTGCCGGGGATTGAACCCCGGACCACATGTGTGGTCGGCGAGCACTCTACCACTGTGTCACCGACACACAGTCTTCAGATGTGTTGTTTATTAATTTATGGCTATATTCCAAATTATTTCTTCTAATTATTACAAAGGTATCATCAATATAGGTAGAGCTATTAATTCTAATATTTGCAGCATAACGGCTTCAGGTATTAATCTTGATATGGGCGATGATCCCATTGGTGTTCCTTTCATCTGTTCGTAAATATGACTATTGAAATGGAAGTATGTTGTAAGACATAATTCTATGAGTTCACTCCAAGTTGAACATTGTGTTTTTATGTGTTTTCATCGCTATAGAGGAATTATTGCATCTGTCTGTCTGTTTTCAACATAGAATTTTGCACCAATGTGCAGCAGTTCAAGTCGCCACTCTCCCTCCATGTAGCACATAAAACAAGAGAAGAAAGTAGAAGAAATGCAAAAATAGAGATAGTAGACAGGGATATGAGACAAAAGGAATAGTAATAACGAATAACAACATAGTTTCATTGGAAATTATAAGTCACAAAGAGTGGATCCATCTGCGCTAGCCATTGAGAACGATTTTGAGCCATATCACCGATTGTATCCAACCATTGGTTTTTACCATCCTGAGGACCCCAAACAATCAGGAAGTCTACATCTTCCTACGTGGCTTAGAATAACGCTTGTGGATTTCACTGACTGGTGCCACGTTTCGGTTTGACCGCCGCTAGCTCTTTTCCACCCTGACCCTATGTCAGCTAACATTGCCCGTCGAGGAAGGCGATGACTAGGCATACGTAACACATGTTCTAACCATCTCAGTCTATGTAGCTTCACAGACTCGTCGATTGATTTCCCCTCCTTACCTAGCACTCGACCGATGCCTAAGCTCAGTAGTGCTTACCCTACTATACCACTTCACACGGAAGATAGAACACAGGCACCTATGATTAAAGACAGCCAGCCTTTTGATGTCTTCCACCCTCAATGGTCAGGTCTCACAGCCATAAAGGAGGACGGAGCAGACTGCTGAGCAGTACACACGCTCTTTGATCGATATCCAGCCGGATCTCACGTCTACTAATGTTGCATAGTTATTTTGCTAGTTTTGTATACTTATTTATCCTGGATAATACTAGAAGTGACAATGTAGTCTATACACGGTTGACAGGGGCTAAAATTATAAAACTGCTTCACTCCAATTAAAAATACAAAATACTGGTGAACAGGTTTATGAATGACAAATGGAAAAAGTATAATCCAGACGTGTTTTTTTTTTTAATTTCCTTCATCTCTATATTCCTGTTTCAGAACAATGAAAAGATACCAGAAGATATTGTTGAAACAATGAATCCGTCGAAAGTGTACATACTGAATCAAAATAAAAGTAAGCCTACATATTTCACCATGTATTAAACTTTGTATTAGTAGCATTTTTCTAATCTCATTGCCTTTAGACACGATTAGATCAATTAGATCGTTTGTAACTATACAGCTTTGGAACTTCCGTTTCATAGCTTTCATTATCCATTTCTACTCGTCGTAGGGGCAGTAGGATCATCCAGATGTCCACGGCAGGTGTTGAATCATTCCTATTACACGCGTTTTCAGTTGATTCGATAAGTAGAACTTCACTTTTCAATCTCTCCCTCCACCCTGTTGCAGTAGATTTTAAAACTGTCACCCTATCCCATCCGTCCTATTGTGTGCTTAGTTGTATGTAATTGCATGTAGTGCTATAGCTGAGCTATTCTCCAGATTTCTTATCTTATTAGGGTCTACTAATTTAGATTTTATTTGGTTCTTGTGCTCTGCTAGTCTGACTGACCGACCCCGTTCTGCTACTTTGACCTATTTATTTGACCTGACAATCATTGCAGACAGGGTATTAGATAAACCAAATTGTTTTGCTGAACTGGCTCCACAGGCACGATCCTTGAACCGACAAAGTTTATTTCTAACTGAGTTTGTGGGCGATTGAATTCCAACCACTTTTATTCCTGCCAGCATTGTAAAGAATTCTGCGTAAGGTTTCCGAGATTCCTTCCTTGTATGGAATTACTACTGATGATTTAGATTCCTTATTTTTGGTGATGTCTTGAGCATGTTCGAGATGCATTTCGTCATTAATATCATTATTATTATCACTATCACTACTATTATTATTTATTTTATTTCCACATTTCCTTACATACTTTCTGACTAATTTAACGGGGCAATTATTAAGTTTCAAGGCTTCTCTTATATGCTTATATTAACGACGACATACATGTCAAACATGTGCAACACATCACCAACAATAAGGAATCTAAATCATCAGTAGTAATTCCATACAAGGAAGGAATCTCGGAAACCTTACGCAGAATTCTTTACAATGCTGGCAGGAATAAAAGTTGTTGGAATTGAATCACCCACAAACTCAATTAGAAACAAGCTTTGTTGGTTAAAGGATCCTGCCTGTGGAGCCTTTAAAAGAAAACAATTTAGTTTATCTAATACCCTGTCTGCAATGATTGTCAGGTCAAACTAGTAGAGCAGGGGCAGTCAGTCAGACTAGCCGAGCATAAAATACCTAGCACCAAAGTCTAGATTAGTTCACCCGAATAAGATAAGAAATCTAGAGAATAGCTCAGCTATAGCACTCACTACATGCAGTTACACACGACCAACCATACAATAGGATGGGTGGGATAAGATGACAGTTTTAAAATCTAATGTAATGCCAGGGTGCAGGGAGAGATTGATAACGGAAGCTTTGTTTATCGAATCAACTGCAAATACATTTAATAGGAATGATTCAACACCTGTCCCAGATATCTGGAAAATTCTACTACCCCGACGACGACAAATAGGAGAGAACAAAGAAAACTATAACGCTCAAGTTTCGAAGTCATGTGATTACAACTGATGATATGATTATGAACAGTAATAAATTGTGTTCGAAAGAAACGTCATCCAGTAAATAATACTGTTTCTTCACTGTGTGATACATCTAATAAACAAACTAATATGGAATTACTTACTATCACAATGCCCAAGTTTTACACACATATTTCTTTGTTAAATTTTGCCTGCATTTCTTGCAAAGTCATCGCGTTTTTGCCGGCTTAACTCTCCCTTTTTTCTTTTACCCTATTTTCGCATCATTCTAGACACACCCTATGAGGTGCACAGTGCAACAATGCACATTCCATCGTCAAATATCTGGGAAAGTTATCACAGTGATTACAACAATGCAACAGATCCGCTGAAGAAATTCACTCATGAGAAAATATTCACCTATCCAAATCAAACAATCCAGCCTAAGGGGAGTATTTATTATACGCAGTTGAATAAATTCTCCCCTGTCATCAACTCTGTTGAAATGGGATCATTATCTGGGCAGAGCGGTAGCAACGCTTCAAGCGATCCTGTTAATAACGGCGACCATACGCATAATACTCTGATGCGAACTGCTGCTATCGTTGATGGTAGTAATGATCATAATAATAACAATAGCAAACTCCTACTGACGAATATACCAGATCATGAGACAGCAGCCAGTCAGACTGCTGATTCGAAGTCCAGTCGTCCAGCGTGTAATTATGCTGTCTGTGCCAATGGTATTATCTCGGTATCCGATTACATGACGCTCAGTCTACACGATACACATAATCAACGCACTACTAAGAATATGTCACCGACTAATTGTCATTTTCTAATGAACGCCATAAATTTCGATCAGTACAATAACAGTAATAATAGTAATAATAATCAATTGACACGAAATTCCTCACCTTACATTGATCATAAACACCAACATTCTCATGTACCGTTAATCAATACCGTTTGTCAACAGAATCATCACCAACAACAACAACACTATCCTCACACTAGTTGTACACCGCCTGGTCAGCGGTGTCAGCCAGTGTCGACAATGAGTAGAAAGTCACCAAATTTATTGAAACATTGTACAATACTTACACCAGTAGTTGATTATACTACTGATAGCAAAACTGAAATAATAAGTAGTATAAAGGGTAGAACACAAATAAAAACATCAATGGAGGAATCTAGTAATAATCGTAATAATAAGGAAGGAGAGGAGAATGAAAATGACGTCGGATGTATTCCTCATGGGGAGGAGGAGGAGGAGGATGAGGAACACAACGAGGAGTGTTTCAAAACTTCTGCTCTAAAATCTAGCAGTTTTGTATAGCTGTTTAATTACCTCAGTATTATAATTATAATTAACACTATTATTGCTACTATTTTATTCTCTATGTAAACATTTCAAATGTATTTCTTTTATTTCCCGAGTAGTATTTATTCACTAGCATTTAGCCTACATGGTAATTGGGGAGAGAAGGTGTGGATTTGAGCGGGTTTTTTTTCAAAATGACAAATGATAACAATAATTCGCTTTATGTAGACTGATTGACGCCATGTCTTATTTATGGATTTGTGTGTGTGTGCGTACGTTTGTCTGAAGTATAAGAGTTGTACTTTTTCGAAATTTTGATATTTTTCCTCAAGTTCACTCCTTCTTCTTCATGTTTCAAGTCAGTAAGCCAGCGTGTGTGTATATTTACAATTGCTTAGGTAAGAATCAAAGTGAATAAGACGTGGATCTTAGGATTAGTTGTATAACTTTCACTATTGACTTTTGTTCGTCCAGTTTGAATGAAAGTTTGTTAAATTTACATGTGTACTTTTTAATTTCTAAAAAACAAGATAATTGAGCAAAGAATATCTTTTTCGATAATTTCCTCCTCTTCTAGCTCTACAATTATATACATGTGTGTTTATATTCACAGAATATTCTAGAATAGTAGTCAATAACACTACTAGTGTTTTTTAAATAATATCGATTTGTAAAGTAAGATCACAGTGGAATTACAGTTCATTAAAGATGCTTAAATTATAATGATAATAATAAAAATAGAATAGCAGATAGAATATCAACTAAAACTAAGGAAATTTCTACAAAAAATTGAGGATTATTCAAACGTAGATGGCCAAGGTAAGGAAGATGTCTGAACTAGCTTCTTTTGGACACATAAATTAGGCTTCCTAATATGGATCCCAACAGCCAGCCTCAGCAATATTTAGAAGTCGAACTCTTAAGGCGAAGTTAAGATGGTATGCGGTAAATGAATTCGAAAGCCTCTTTTACATCAATCTCGTGTTCTGTATCCACAAGATGAGATAGAATAGCTCTACAAATGGATTTTGTTTGTCCTCAACTTAACCAAGCAAATGATGTTCAGAAATCCGATGAGAAACATGCCTAATTGTGCCACCTATGTAACTGGCTACACAGGAGCAGTTAAATTGGCAGATACACATGGAAGAGGCGAAATTAAGTAGTTTATCTTTTATTTCTGAATGCGAAATAGTGGTGGTTTTGAAGACAGCATAATTCAGCAGCCCTGAATGCCTTTTTTACCGCATTTCTAAGGCGTTATGTTAATATCTCTCTGATGTAGTCTCCGAGGAACTGAAGTTGTAAGAGTGAGGCCTTTTTAGGAACTGTTGGTACCTTGGGCTGCTTTGATTTTAGATTCATATTCTTATCAATGAACTTTTCTGGATAACCGTTTTCACTCAGCAACCCTGTAATATTATTAAGTTCCTCATCAAGATATTCATCCGAGCAAATTGCTCTTGCTCTGTGAACCAAGCAGTTTATCAGATTGTGTTTGTATTTCAAGGGCACGAAGTTGAGAAAAGGAGTATACTGACCCGTTGATGTATGTTTTCCACATACACTTTCTCTTATTGTGCCATCCTCCTTTCTGATCATAAGTACGTCTAGATAGGAAATACTAGAGTCTTTTTCTTTCTTAATAGTAAAAATTATTGCAGAATGAACGTCGTTAAATTTATCCAGGATGTTCTTTGCTTTCTCTTCATTTTCGAAAATCAAAAATGTATCATCTATGTACCGACACTAGAATTCAAGTTCATCAATAACATCTTTCAAAGGCCAAAAAAACATCGAGAAGCTCTGGGTATTCTGCGTAAAAATGTTAACATAATGAAAACAAGACCGGATAAGGGCTCAGAAGTGGTTATCATGAACAAATCTGATTACCTGAGAAGATGAATACTATTCATAACGACAATCTAAAATTCCAAAAAATCTCCTCTTCTCTGGATCCGATTGAAAAGATGGAGAATCAATTAGCTGAAACATTGAGAAGACTGAAACAATAAAGGCTTTATCTCACAGAGTCACTAGACATCACTGAAACCCACTGGAACGTTCACAGCAAGACTATATGGCTCGCCTAAAGTGCACAAAAATGGTATACCGCTTCAACCAGTATTAGATATGTTAAATTCACCATACCATCCTGTAGCCGAATGGTTAGTCGGACGCTTACAGCCCCTTCATACTGAGATGGTGAAACACAGTGTAAAGGATACCTTTTGGATTTGTTGAAAGGATAAAAGATTTAAATTTTTTTTCCTTCACGTTCCCCAGTGGAACATAGGGCTTCAAGCTAGAGGCTTGAAGTTTCTGTAGCAGTGTTTATTTTACAGGATGGGATTGCTAACCTCAGGCCCAACCTTTCCTCTTCACCAGCATTATTTCTGGCTTAGCGAGGTAAAGGAGTGCGTTGGCCGAGGATCGAACCCCGGACCATGTGCATGGTCGGCGAGCGTCCTAACCGCCATACCACCGACGCATAAAAGATTTAAGTGGTGACAATAAATTCATGATATCATTTGACGTATCTTCCTTATTTACCAGTGTACCACTTACGGAAACAGTGGACTTTGTATGCGAAGAACTCATATGAAGAAACATCGATGTTGGCATTCCTATATCTTTTATGAAAAAGCTTCTCTTGAAATGCACAATGAATGCTCACTTTTTATTTAATAAGGAACTATATAGACAAATTGTTGATGTGGCAATGGGGTCACCATTAGGACCCATTCTAGCCGACATTTTCCTTGCGAAACTAGAAAATGGGCCTTTGAAAGATGTTATTTATGAACTTGAATTGTATTGTCAGTACACAGATGATAAATTTTTGATTTTGAAAAATGAAGAGGAAGCAAAGAACATCCTGGATAAATTTAACGAGGTTATTCTTTGCTCAATTATTTTGTGTTTTTTTTAAATTTCTGTTGGGTTTCTTTATTTCTGTATTGATTCGGGGTGGTTTTTGGGTTGGGGGGAGGCGGTGACAGTGGGAGGTTGGCTTACCTCTAGAATCATATTAGCTTTGTTATTATTCCCTTGGGTTACGAGTGGAATATAGCACTGAAACAGCACATTTCCATCCCACTCTGTTCATTCACTCTCTACAGTTCTGTTTAGCCAGCACCACAACTGCCCATAAGCTTACAACACCTCACATTGTGCTTGGGCTACTGATAAGATTTATCAGTAGTATATAAAAAAGGTGTTCATCGGACGGTATAAAACACCAAATAGCAGGAAGATAGATTTGATGTCAAAGAGAAAAAAATGAATCAGTGTTGTGGAAAAATATGGGAGACACAAAAAGAAGACAAAGAAACATAATACGAAGGAAGGGTAGAAGTAGTACAACATGGGAGATCTGTGCACATGACAATTTTCATATGAGGTGTACATAATTCCACTATGTGAAGATATCACTAAGGCTAAGTAAATGTGTAGTGAAAACCATCAACAGTTCAATATTGGACCGTCTGGTCCAAACCGGGCGGCCACAAAGCTAGCCAGAGTGGAAGAACTCTTCTCTATTATCTACCGGGTGCCAAAATCATCGAAGCACCGCATGCTCCAAACAGCGGAGGCTATTGCAATTCGCCTCAAGCAACCAGCGCTCTGTGTTTAAAAGCAGCAAGTCCAGCCCCTACTACTGCCCTAGCGCTCAGTAGAAACTATAATATCATGAATTTGTACTATTACCTTTCCTAATTCTTCTGACATTCAGTTTATTGTTACGTTGATGCTTCCGAACTGTAATCTATTGATATTATTATTATTGATTCTATGTTATTTAAACAGCAACATTAATGTTGTCCATAACACCAAATCATCCACTACTATGACGTATATATAACTGTAGAGCCTGATGATGAAGAGGTTATCGAAAAGAGTATTTTTCTGTTCAGTATCCATTCTTTTGAAAATTTTAATGAGCATTTTTAATCAGATATCAAATTCTAAATAAGCATTCCGTTACAATGCGATCTCCTCTATACCATCCACGAAGTGAACGCCGAGTCGTCGTTATTCACTCCCGTTCCACTCTCCGGCCTGGTGTGTAAAGTCACTCGACGGTCTCCTCAACAAGTGTTCGATCTACCTCCATTTTCTTCAGCATATTAGTTAGGCGGCAGGTTCTTGTTTAATTTGCTAACTACCAGAATTTCTCTGTTGCTGATCTTTTCTGGTTGGCCATCTGATCTTCAGTGATGAGTTAACGAAGACAGCTATTGATAAAAATCTGCAGCCTGCTGGAGATGCTTTTCATAACTCTCGAACCAAATCTCTGAATTACACGGAAGAACTGACTCGACATAAATGCTGATGATCCAAACCTTGCTCCATTTGCTGAGTGCAGTTGATTTCCAGACTGATTTCAGACTAATGAGGGTGTCTTATTTCCCTGACCCTCATTGGCTTGTAAGTGCTATTTTTCTTTGAAATTTTCCCTCTGATGGTGATTGGTAATTTTACTGACGCTTAAGTACCTGCATCACCTCTATCTTGTTTATGTTCACCTAAGGTCATGTCTTCGCTGGCAGCCAGTCTCTTCTACCAATCTGTTGGCTTTCGTCTGTAGATCTTGAAGTTTGTATGGCATTAGACCTCCACAATCAGGAATGTCATTGGTGATAGTAGGCAACGTTGGCCTAATCCTTCTCGCCTTCACTTCGAAGGCTTCGCTGAATTTCCCATTACCAAATAACTGCTGAATCTACAATCCTCATAAATTTGGTTGTTATTATTTTAAACGAGACATAGAGACAAAATCTGCCGAACAGAAACAACTTTTGTCTTTTAGCTTTCCGAAATCAATGATATACTACCCAAATAATGGAGAAGATCTGCATCTATGCAGAATGTATTTGAGATATTATTGCGTTCAGCGTTTACATTTCAAAGCCTTGAACCTTCTTTCTAGACGTCACCTTCAGCGACAAGTTCAATATGAAGTAGACTTTAGAAATTCTCTACATATTAAATATCCTCCTTTTCTAGGCAAGACCCGACCGATAGCTGCTACCTTGACGTGGTTGTCGGGCTTGCATATCGCAATGACCCAACGAGGTACACCGTCTGGAACTTATGTTCCTGTAGCTTCTACCATGCCAGAAAGGTTGTTTGGATAGCGGTTAAACAAAAAGCAGCTACCCAATCCAATACTATGACTCAAACAAACTCACAAAATATCATGCCGGATCGGTCGGGGCCCGGATTAACAACGACTGCGCTTCCTGCTACTGTGTCACAGGG